TTTTCATTTAATGAGGTGTGCAAAAAAATGCGAAAATGATAAGTTCAAATATGTTATTAATTTTTTCAAAGCATTTTTGCGAATTCAAATGAAAAAACTCAAAACTAGAAAGTTGTAGATCTAAATGAGATCTATAACTTTTAGTTATGAAAATTTATTTTCATTTAATCGTTAAAAAAAATATGATGATTTTTCAAAGATATATTAATCATATCAAATCATATTTTTTGCCTTTTCACAAATGAAAATGCTTTTTATATAAAGCCTCGAATCGATTTGAAGTGGCATGGAGGACCTCAAAAAGTTGGAGTAGTGGCGCTGAAGACCGCTGAATTTTTCCAAGGGCATAGAAGGGATTACGATCTTTTATAATGGCACACAGGGAAAAGTCTCTTCATAAGATGGAGACTTCAAATTTTTTTACTTGAGCTCCTTACATCCTGCCGACAAACCTCGACTTCACGTGAGTTCGAGCTTGGCTCCTAGTTGAAATACTCGGATATCTGCTTCAATAGCTCGGACGACATGTTCAACAGCTCAGACGCCGTGTTCGACACCTCGGATGATGTTTTCAACAGCTCGGACGCTTGTTTCAATAGCTCGGCTCCTAGTTAAACTGGTCGGACATTTGCTCCTAATGACCGATGATAAGCTGAATTGCTCGGACAAGCTCAAGACGGTATTGCTCGGCGGATACATGGCGCTCGGGGACTAGCTGTGGGGGTATAACCCCCGATACCCATAGGGTTGTACATGGGCTGAGCCGCCAGGGGAGGCCCAGCCCGCAAGACTACGCCGCGCGAAGCATGGCACAGGTCAACGTGTCTCGCAAGACTGCGTGAAGATCCTTGGCAATTAAGGATGATCTGTTCGGATATGCTAGATTCTACAATCTCTGTAAATCCTATCTTGTAAACCGATCAGGATAGAAACAACCGACCTGTAACCCTACCCCCAGGCTATATAAGGCGAGTAGGAACCCCTCGTTTTCATCGAATCTCTCATAATACAATCTACAAAGACACAGGATGTAGGGTATTACGTCAAGCTGATGGCCTGAACCTGCCTAATCGTTGTCTCTTGCGTTCTGTGTCACCATCCGATTTTCTTACGCGCACCTCCACCGATTCATCTACTACCGTGAGCATACCCCTCGGTATACTGCCGAACGTATTTCGTCGACAGGTTCCTCCTCTGGGTGCTCCTCAGGAGAAGTCGAAGGTGGAGAGAGGAGCCACAAGTTGCACCCCTCTGTAAAAAAAGAAAGAAAATACTGGCCCCTCTTCGGTACACTAAAATGCAACTCCTCAGTCGTTGTTTGGTGTGGCTTCTCTGCCGAAGCTGCTGCTGAAGCTAGGGCTAGAGCCATGCAAAACAGACCCTTAAGAATCTAAAAAATTCAAACATATTAGTGTTGACTCAAATCATGTGCCCTTATATTTATTATAAACATCTTCTATAGAATGATTAGTCGTCATAGAGTAATTGGTTCAGTTAATTGCGCACGCAGCTATGATTAAGAACTTGCATAGAGCCATGTGAATGGGCCTGGATAAGTAGAGGAAGATGCTTGGTTGAGTTGATAAATGTGGATCTCGCTTACTGTCCCAAAGTTATATAACAAATTTCTAGAATGATAAGTTTTTTTCTGAATGAAGTACTTGCTTTACCTGCTGAACATTACCCTTCACACCTAGAGCGTTTTTCTATATTGAGAACAACATAAAATTTTTGTTCTTTAATAAATGAATAGAAAAATGATATTCTCCATAGTTGGAAATATAAATACCTGTGTGTTATTTATATTACATAGTAGGATCAAATATGAGACGGTCACACAATATTTATGTTATTGTCGAAATCATTTGAACTTTTAGGAGTCGTCAATGTAAACTAAGTATAATGGACATAACGAGAGTATCTAGTAGCAAAACTGGTTTCATCAGAATGAAAACTTATCCGTTCTCTCTCTTTAAAACTATTGTGCCATGTAATCAAAACCGGTAATGTGTTATCTTATTTAGTGAGAATAAATCCGATGATGTTTAATAAAAACCTCCAAACATTGGCTAGAGAAGTTTAAAAAGGACTTGGACTTTTTCAAGAAAACATAGGTGAAACTAGAGATGCGAGTACACGGCTATTGGGCCGGTACCCGTGGGATGCTTAGGGCGCGTTTAGTCGGTGAAAAATTTTGTTTTGACTACTGTAGCATTTTTGTTTGTATTTGGCAATTAGTGTCTAATTATGGACTAATTAGGTTTGAAAGTTTCGTCTCGCGATTTCTCACCCAACTGTGCAATTAATTTTTTTTCGTCTACATTTAGTACTCCATGCATGTACCGCAAGATTCGATGATACACTTTGAGGTGAAAATTTTTGGGAACTAAACAGGGCCTTACAGGGACACTTGACCTGGCCCATGTACAGGAAGTTCCAGGGAGTCTTCATACAGGCCGATGTCCCAGAAGGTCCTCGGTGGCCCAGGTTCTGAAGCAGTCCGTCTGGTAGTTACTCACGTGTAATCTGTTCCCGTCAAAAAAAAAAAAAAACCTTACGTGTAATCTGTGAATTGCGATTTCTGGGGGCACAAATGCATTGCTTGGACTGGACCGTGCAACGTCCCGTTGCGCCGTGCCGTGAGGAAGAAAACAGAGTATATGTTTGTAATGCAAAATATGGCCGGTGATTTTTTTTGCGCCGTGCCGTGAGGAAGAAATCAGCTCATTGTATGTAGGATGGCAGAAGATGCTATAAACTGCTTGCTGCCAGATTTTTTTTCCTTTGCGGGAAACTACATGACCTCTGCGATTCAACACGATCACATGCGACCGCAGCACTAGCACTGTTCTCCGTCTCTCCTTTAATAATTCCTCATCAAGTTTGACACCGTGTCACATGCTGCTAGCCGTGCGTTCATCAGATCCACGGACCACGACGGTGGCAGGGCCTCCCATCCACGCACCGACACGCATAGGGAAGTTCCTTGATCAGAGCATGAGCAGCTGAGCTATCCAGATCTTACACCCTGTTCGTTTGGCGTACTTTTTCAGCCAATAAATAGTATTTTTATCTCACAACAAATCAACCTAACGGTACTTTCAATCATGGCTTATCAGCCTAGCATAGCATTAGTTTCCCTCTGCGGTCTGCGAAACGGATCGGGTACGTGCGAAGTGTTATACGTAACTGTTCATGGACGTGTCACCTCGCCCGTGCAATTCAATGCAATGCAATTATGCAAAACGAATCTGATAAGCTGGCGAGCGGCGGAGACAACTGGCCCGGGTCCCGTCGACCGTCGTCTCGTGGCTGTCCCAAGGACAAGGCGCCGAGCTGAAGCCGAAGCCGAAGCCGAGCACCTTCGCCTCCGTCTAGTCGTCGTCCCCTCGTGCGCGGTGTGCACGCCGCACCCTCGCTTTAAAAACCCGGAGGCTCAACGCTCGAGCGAGGCCCAGGCCACAAAGAAATCCCACGAAACAGAGGAGCGCGCAAAGCAAGCGGCGACGGCTACGACGCAGACGCAACGCAAGTCCCAACGACCCAACCCATTCTATCCAGAATCCAGGTGGCAGGTAACAATCCTCGGAGATTCACAGCTTCTTTTTCCCCCAAGCGCTGCCAATTGCCAAGCTTAGCGGGAGGTGGGAGATTGAAACGCGGAGCTGTGTTTCGTGCCAGGACTGGATTACCAGTGGATTGGGAACGCAGGGTTCTGGGAGGCGTACTTGTTGCCGTTTTGGTGCCTCATCGCGGAGCTGCTGCTGCAGCTGGTTCTTCTTCTCCTCTGCTCGTTGGTCGATTGGATCGGGTGGCGGAGGGATGGACGGAAATAATTTTGGGCCCCAGGAGCGGATTCTGTGGCCGGCGTCGGTTCTTGCCGGCATCGTCATGTGCGGCGCTGTAAGCTTCCCTCACTTGGTCCCTCCTCGTTTTTTTCTCTCTTTCACTAGCTGAATTTCAAACAATCAGCTCATTGTTCGTTCCTTTCAAACCATCGACTCATAGTTCATTCCTTTTTAATCTGCGACAGAGTAGTTGTGCCTGTTGCTATTTGTGTCCAAACCCCCAAATCTTTCATCATTATACGTCTTCTTTCTTCTGGTATAATGTCAATGTAGGTCGTTCCGGCGCTAGTTAATGATGCATGATGCATCTAGGTGCCAGTCCCTGTCTTCTACGACGCCGGAGCCTGACTGGTAGCTGTAGGCGCAAGCGCAATACTACAAGTTTGTGGACAACATATCGTTGAATAGTTTTCTACAAGAGTTATTTTCGGTGCTTGAACAGGATCAGAAGCTTCCTCGAAGACTGTATATATAGTTTACCCGTGGAACTGCATTATCATATTCGATTCCTCGATTTAATTCGTTCGGCGTGTCCCGTACTCCCGTTAGTATCAAGGAAAGGTTTCCTCGTCACTCGTCAGCAGCTTTGATGTCGACCTAATTCTTTTAGCGTTACAATTCATTGGTTCTCTATCTTTTTCTTTGTCGTGTTTTGTGTTTGCACGTACAGTAGAATAATGTTTTTAGAAAAGAAAAAAAGACATGAAAAAGGGGAGATTTAAGGCACTACTGAGAAAACACTTATTTTTGAAACAATTGTTATAAACAGTCAACATCATATAAACTTACGGCATCAGTTACAAGTGTAGCGCATTAAATTTCAAATAAATTACACAAATAATCCAGCGCAAGATTAGTTGGATGTGTGCTCATGTTCCTACAATAATCCCTCAAGGTAATACTTACCTATTGGTTTGTTTATTCAAGATGAGTGAATTGCTCAAGAATAAATGGAAGGTTCTATATAACTTTGTTGGTACTTTACCAAAAAAAAAAAAAAACTAGCTCGATGAAAGTTCCATTGGACAAATAAATTCAATGTAATCGGCAAAATATGTAGATGTATATGTTCGGTCATTAAAACACTTGGTTGAGAAACTTACGCAACATTTTAAAAGGTAACTGGGTGGTAAAAATTAGGCAAGTCGCTCCATGAAGCGCATAATCCTTCACATCAAAGGAGTACGGAAAAATAATTCTATGGGTCACATGGACAAGGAGAGTCCTTGGTTACAACCAGCAAACATTGTTGACTACTTTTCGGTTCTTATTTCTGCCAGCAACTATCTTTCAATTGATAACGTCATTATACTTCTGAAATTTACAACGACAATTGGATTAAAGCACTGTAAGCACGTATCACCACAACATCTCAACTCCAAGAATTCATTGGCTTGTGGATTAGATTACAAAATGTTCAGCTGCTACCCGATGTACATGACACAATTACTTGAAATAGACAGCTGACAGTACCTATTCCACCCACTCGGCATATAGGATACAGTTTCGAGGCTCACATCAGAAGTTCCAACATGACCTCATTTGGAAGGCTCGAACAGAGAATAAATGCAACATACACGCCTGGATCCTAATGCACGACAAAATCCTAACAGCAGACAATCTATAAAAGAGGGGTTGGCGCACCAAAAACATCGTGTCTTGTGTAACGGGCCTCTAGAAACAGGGCTTCATCTCCCCTTGCTTTGCCCCTTCGCAAAAGACGTCTGGGACCAGGTGGTAGCTTGGAAAAACTTTGTGGTGCAATGGCCACAACAAGAACCGCCCTCAGTTGCCGATTGGTGGGAGCAAGCGGCAAGCAAGATACAAAAGTAAGACCGCAGGCGTTTCAATGGTATGGTGATTTACATCATGTGGAATTTATGGAAGGAGGAGAATAGAAGAATCTTCGAAAATGTGCATAGGACGGCACAACAGGTCGTCTCACTGATCAAAGAAGACATAGTGCAGTGGCATAGGATAATGAATTTTAGTGGGAGCCAAACTAGCAGTGCCAGGCGTGTTTTTCTCCTCTATGGTCTTCAGACCACGGTGTTTTGGCACCTCAGGTGTCATCTGTACATAAACCTCTTTTCATTATTTAATTGAGCAGCAGAGCTCTTGTCTTTTACTTTAAAAAAATACTTCTGAAATTCCGAGCTTACAGAAGAGTACTGTTTCAGGCTACTGGATCAAACTGTTCACAGGTATATGAGATGACTCGAAAGGTCAGTTCTAGAACTTTCAAATGTTACAATATGTTAGATAACACACAAAAGGTTGAGTGGAACAATAGGTAAGATATGTGTAGACATAACTTTTTAGATACTTTTGCTTTTCTTATTATTTTTGGCTTTAGCTTTGTTTAATCTGATTATATGATGCCACATATTGGCAGGGGTTTCTCTACACTCCATGCATTGGTAGCTGCTGCTGTGTCTTTCTACTTGGTCATGATCTCTGACCTCTTTAATGAAGATTTGCACAATAGCATAATAATTGATAGAAAATCATGGTTATCTGATTCCATGTTTGGGGTAAGCTGTGCATTTCAACTTTATTTCTCCCTCCGTTTGAAGACAATCGATTTGTTGTCCATATATACTGCATGTCTTTCAGAATAAAATGAACATGAAAATGTTAGAAGGAGTGTGTTTGATTTCTTCAATATATATATGCTAACAACAATTTGATTATTTACATGTGATGCTTCTGTACTCCATGTCTCTTATCATACGCATGACATAAAAACAATCGTTGCCTCTGCAGGTTTCGATTAGTTACTTTTTGACAGATTTGACGATGATCCTGCTGTATTTTCCTTCTTTAGGTGGAAAGGAGTATGTAAGTATCACTCTGTCGAAGCACATGCTCTAGCTCTTAACGGAGTTCTCCTATTGTGGAGAACGTCCCAACCCAGGAAGACGGCTAAGGCCCACTCTATGAGTTGAGTAAGTCACACTTACTAATTAACTCTCTTGCGCTTTCGTCCTCGCTTCGCGCAAAAGGATCGATCTGAAGTTAACAGCCTCCCAGATTAATCCTGGACCTAGGAGGCTATTAACTCCGAATCGATTCTTTTTTGCGCGAAGCGAGGACGAAAGTGCAAGAGGGTTAATTAGCAGGTGTGACTCATTCAACGTGTAGAGTGGGTCTTAGCCGTCTTCCGGTCGGGGCATTACAAATGGTATTCGGTTGTTAACTCCGGATCGATCCTTTTGCGCGAAGCGAGGACAAAAGCGCAAGAGAGTTAATTAGTAGGTGTGACTCATTCAACGTGTAGAGTGGGCCTTAGCCGTCTTCCCGGGTCGGGGCATTACAAATGGTATTCTGAGCTCACTCTCGCGATTTCACGGTTCGTATGGTCTGAAAGCCTGGACAGGCTATGCATGGCTCCAGAGAGGGCGTAGCGCCTAGGCCGGGACCGGAAATACGAACGTGACCAAGAAAGTTGATCGTGAGCACTTGTCCCATATAGGTAAGTTGGTTCGATAGCTCGACGAGGACGTCGAATCCTTTGAGGGTGGGTGGATGTGAAACCTCAGTCCATGGGCCAGTTGGTCCAGACCAAATTCGTGGTACTGTAGCACCTAGGGCACGGTAGCTTCGGTACAGTGTTTCCAGTTGATACCGGAAATGGAACCAGAGCTAGACCAGCTTAGAACCCTGGACCTGGGAAGCCGTTAACTTCGGATCGATCCTTTTGCGTGAAACGAGGACAAAAGCGTAAGAGAGTTAATTAGCAGGTGTGACTCATTCAACGTGTAGAGTGAGCCTTAGCTGTCTTCCCGGATCTAGGCGTTACATCTGTATCAGAAGTTAGTTTTTCTAATATTGATGTTTCAGCTCTTGCATCACGGACTTTCCATGTATGCAATTGGTCTTGTTTTGTTGAGTGGCAAAGCACACATGTACATACTCATGGTCCTCTTCACCGAAGTCACGACTCCCTTTGTGAACCTCAGATGGTAATATCCTTTTGTTGCTAATCTGCTTATTAGTAAGAACTGGGGCTCATTCATTTAAAAAAAAAGTTTGTAATGATCTCTACAGGTATTTGGACGTTGCTGGTCAGAAGACTTGTAATCTTTACTTATACAATGGCGTGGCTCTATTTGTTGGATGGCTGGTACAACAACTGCTCTCATGAGTCATTAGTTTTTTTTAAACAATTTTCTATACAGTCATAATGCATATGGTTCAGGAAGGTTGTCTCTAAATGCTAGAGCATTGCATAGTTAGGTTCCCTGGCAGAGTTTATTTTGAAGATGTGATAACTGGGGGTAATGATTAGTGATGACTTCACTATACAAATTGATAAGGGCCATTTTGGAGTTTTTTTAATGAACACAACAAGTGCCATTTTGGATTTTGGAATAGGGGATTTGGTCTTAAAAACTTTTATGCTCTAGTTTGAATTAACCATAAGGATTTGAATGCCGCTGATCCCTTTCCAAATAAAGCCTAAACGTTCTCTTTAAATGACCCTTTTGCTCTGGTGAATAGTTGATTAACATGTCTTTTTTCTGCTACAGATTGCTCGGATAATCTTATTCATCTATATGTTCACCTATATGTACTTTCATTTTGATCAGGTATGGGTATTTAAAATTTTCATCCTGAAAGCACACTGTACTACAGATTAACCTGGGAACCAATCAAAATCCATTTATTTCTTGTAATGTAACTTTTTAGAATAAGATCTGTCTGGTCAGTATTTTTTTCGTTAACATTAAAGGTAGTTCATCAATGTTCTGAAAAATGGCTTGCAGAAAATGTGAAACCTTAAATTAAACTAGATTATCAGAAGTTATGATTGTTCTGGTGCTTTTGATTCTGATATTGTTTTCTATTGCCGATGCCATCCTTGTTCCCAGACGAGGTCCATCTTCACCTTAGGATTCTACAGCTTGGTGGCGGTGCCATCGGCGGTCGCAGTGATGAACGTGTTTTGGTTCTGGAAGATACTTAAGGGGATGGTGAAAACGTTTTCTAGGAGGAAGCACAGTGAAAGTGGGAAAACAGACTAGAAGGAAGCATACTTATAACTTTACACATACGAGGGAGATATATATCCTTCTCTGTCTAGATCTACGGTTTAATTCGTCTATGTACTTATGGCGGTACCTGTTCACTGGCATTACTTTCTCACACAAATTGTCATTATTTTAAGCTAGGTGATTAACTTGCCGTCAAAGATTCAAAGGCCTCGTTCGCTGGTCTGAAACTTGGCTGAAACTAGCTGGTTGTGTGAGAGAGAAACACTGTTCGACTGGTTTGATGAACAGTAAAATATGAGGGGGACCAGCCAGACCAGCGAACGGCACCAAAGTCGGCATCCCGCAACTCTTAAATTGTTGCAACAGTACCATGTGCACCATTACATATATTGTCAGTGCTCACTTGGGAGCCAATGAGGCTGTCTCCAACGGGAGACTCGTTCTGGAATCTAAATTTAAAATGAGTCTCCAACACAATATCTATAACCTCTAACAGGGTATCTATATGAAAGACCCATTTTATGTGTCAGGAGAGCCATAATCTAAATCTGAGTATCCTCTCTCATATATATCTATTTGCAGAAATGATTATCTTTTGGGTCTTGTTGTTGGAGAAGATAAAAAATAAATATTGAACCATTTGTCTGTAACGCTATCCAAAGGACGAATGTGTCTTGTATTTTGGATCGCGGTTGTTGGAGACGGTCTTTACACGCGCAAAATTTGAGATACTGGTCGGCAATGTTGGGCTGTTCGCGACATTCACGTGCATCTCGTGTAAGGCTGGATAACGAGCCGGCTCGGCTCGTTTGGGCTCGGCTTGTTCTGGCTCGTTAAGATAACGAGCTAGCTCGGCTCGACTTGTTATCCTATCGAGCCAGAAAGCCAGCTCGACTCAGCTCATTAAAAGCTCGAGCTGACTCGTTAAGCTCGCGAGCCAAGTATAAAAAATATACAAAATATAATATTTGCATTTATCTAAAGTTTGAGAATAATAATAATACAAAAGAAATGCATCTAGACCAGTTACCAGTCAATTTATAGGGTCTAGACCAGTTAACAGTCAATTGTAAAGTGCAAGACATGAAGTAATACAAAAACTAATAAAGTTTTGATACTTTTTTTCCTGGAAGCTTGGCTCGTTTAGCTTCATGGCGGCTCATGGTCGAGCTCGAGTTGGCTCGTTATAGCTAACGAGCTAAAATCTTCAGCTCGGCTCGGCTCGTTATCATAACGAGCCGAGCCGAGCCGAGTCGAGCCAGCGACCAGCCGAAGCGAGCTAACGAAGTTTCGAAGTTTTCGTTCAGCCTTAATCTTGTGGAAATGGACGAGGCCCCGTTCGTTTATTTGAAAAAATAAGCCAAAACACTATTCTAGCTAATTTGTTATGAGTGAAAAATACTATTTAAGTTGAAAAATAAGCTGAAAAATACGGTTTATAAGACAAACGAACAGGCCGTAAACAAATAATCTATTAGTTTGGCCGGATAATTATAATTATTAACAAACAAATCTGACGACATTAGATAGATATGAGAAAAGGTGCAGTACACTACAACCACAGGTAGAAAATGGCAGCGGGTCAGTGGCAAGTGGGTTTCTACTTTTAGGCCTGCTTAGCATAGTTCCATCGTCATGTGGAGCTATTTTGCTAAATACTTATTCCAAAATAACTCAGCTTAAAAAAAAAAGTTGCTCATAAAGCTATTTTATAAAAAAAAGAGAGTCAAATGCAGAAGGTCCACTAACTTTCGTTGCGGTGCCATCTAGGTATATCAACTTTGAAACTGTATTTTTGAGTTGATAAACTTTTAAAATAGTTCACTATAGGTCCATACCCATTTATTTAATCTTAAAACTCTCTATCTTTCTTTATCTTCTACGCGCTCAACCTTCCTGCTCAACGGTGAACGCCACTCAGTCCGGCCGAGCCGTCGGCGACGACCGCGCCTTTGCGCGCGCGTTCTGCTTCGGCGAGCGTCGCGGGTCCTCCCCCAGCGACTGCTTGAAATGCCTTGCCACTGCCGCCTAGGACGTCGCCGACGGATGCCACGGACGCCGCGGGGCGGTCTGGCGCGCCGGCTGCTTCCTATCGTACGTGGACACCAACGCGTCCACGGCCCGCGAGGACGTGTGGCGCGGCTGGTTCTACGACGACGACAGCGACGACACGCTGACCGCGGCGCTGGGGACGTGCGTGGCTATCCGGGGACGTGCGTGGACCGCGGCGGAGTGCTCCCGGTGCCTGAACGAGTCGGCGCAAGTGGTTCCAGCGCTGAAGGAAGGGAGGCAACTGTCGTTGGTCCACGGCGACGTGGTGGTGGTCGTCGGCTACTCCTGCTACCTGCGCGTCCCGTTATCCCCTCCAAAGATACGGTGGCCGGTGTGGGTGAACTACGGTGAGCTCACCAGTTCTCTCTTCCCCTCTCTTTCCATATCTTTCCTGTCCTTAGAAACTGACATTAGTGTGATGATGATGGAACTTCTTCTCTCTGCACTCTGCAGCCTTGGGTGTCTTGGACGTGGTTGGGGTACTGCTCTTTGAAATAGGCGGGATACTGTGTTGCATCCGCATAGCCCGCCAGTTTAATCCAGCTGCTGCATGAGGTGGCCGCCGTGAATCATACAGGTTGCCAGCAATGGAATAGAATCAACACATGGGTCGGCATGTTCGCTTGGTTGTAAACGATCGTAAATTTTCAGTCAGAACAGTATTTTTCTGTCACACCAAACCAGTCAATAGTAATAATTCACGATCGTATACGATCATTTTAGGCCAGCCGAACAGGCTGTTGTTAATTAGTTCATCTGGGCCGCGAGAGAATCATCGGAACGCCAGTTGTCAGGCAACATGCACAGCCCAACTACGGAAAAAAAATTAAGTGGAGACCGACCGCACCACGGACGTCCAACCAATTTGCACCACGTGGAAAAAAAATTTAGGAGCACACGGTGCTTGTCAGATTAGCAGGTCCACTGGCCGGAATAGGTCTGGAGTCCGCACGATGCTGCATGCAATTTTTTTTCCGCAAGGCCTTGTTTAGTTGGCGATTTTTTTTTAAAAAATGGTATTATAGCATTTTTGTTGTTATTTGGTAATTAGTATCCAATCATAGTTTAATTAGGCTTAAAAGATTCCTCTCGTGAATTTCGTCTAAACTGTGTAATTAGTTTTATTTTTTATTTATATTTAATGCTTCATGCATATGTCCAAAGATTCGATGTGACAAGAAATCTTAAAAAATTTTACAAAATTTTAGGAACTAAACATGCACCAACTAAGCCCGGGCGTACCCAGTGTTCGCTGACGTCTGGCGCCAAGTCAGCGAACCTTCCGGGCTTTGGCGTCCGGTCTCGACCTGGGCACGGGAAACTACTTGGTGGCCATCGGGCTAGGCACGCCGGAGGAGCGTGCGGCTGACGGTGGTGTTCGACACCGGCAGCGACACGACCGTAAGTAGTGATGTGAGTCGTCGCGTGTCATCTGCTACGGCGGCGAACGAGCCGCTCTTCAGCCGGCCAAGTCCCGGATAGCCACGCGACGCCCGGCGCCCATGATCGGCGTGTCGTCGGTTGTCGTCGTCGTAGAACCAGCCACGCCACGCGCGTCCTCGCAGGCGTGGACGCGTTGGTGTCTGCGCAGACGACAGAAGGTGGCGCGCCAGAGCGGCCCATGCTGGCGTCCGTGTCATCCGTCGGCGACGCCCCTGGCGGCAGCGGCAAGGCATTTCAAGCGATCGTTTGGGAGGACCCGCGGCGCTTCGGCCGGAAGCGCGCAGCTGCGAAGCGCGGCGTCGTCGCCGACGGGCGGCGACGAACGAGCAGGCGGCGTTGACCGTTGAGCAGGAAGGGTGAGCACGTAGAAGATAAAAGAAATGTGAGGGTTTTCTGTAAATATATGTTAGATTAAAGATTAAATAAATAAGTATGGATCTGTAGTAAACTATTTTAAAAATTTATGGACAAAAAATACAGTTTTAAAATTAATTGACCTCGAACACGTCAACGAAAATTAACGGACCTCGCGTGCATTTTACTTAAAAAACAGTTTATACGGTGAACCTGAGCCGTGTCGAACAGGCCCGCTGGGTGCAGCAGTAAAACATTTTGCTTTGGGGTAGATAGGTAGTGCTGGCCCATCTGCCTCATCCCTTGGGCGCGTCGCATCAGGTTGCTTTGTTCGTGGTGCGCAGCAGGCGCGCCCGCCGCGTCCACGACGTGTTGCGCGGTCGGCTGAAAGGCGTCCGGCGTCCGGGTCGGCTCGTCCTGCCGACCGCCATGTGGTCGCTATTTTCGTGTACCGCACCGTCGGAAGAATAAAATCAAGAGAACAAGAACAGGATCTTCCCTTTTTATTATTATTTGGGTTTTGGTGAACCTTTTCTCAACCTGGGCAGTGGCTAGAGGACACCTGGCCGACGAATTGGCTGTGTTTGTCCTCCAAAATTAATTAATATATATCGGATTCTCGCTTTAGCCGGCCCTGTTTAGATCTATTATTAGCTAGAGTAGTAGTTATCTAGGCAGTAACACATAGCTAATATTAGTTGTCTAACAATTGACCAACTACCTATTAGGCGATAGGGTGTTTGAATACACAACTAAGCGATGAGATAGTTTTTTTCATCTATTAGCTACTATTATCCGATTTGATCAAACTAGTGAGATAGTTATTATCTAATAATTAGCTAATCTATTTGTTGTACCTGTTTGGATCTAAATAAGATAATTATCAACAGATAGTTATTATCTATAGGATCCAAATAGGGCCTTAACAATACAGAATAAATCCGAATTTGCCAATATGGCTAAAAAACTATTTTGTCTAGCTGTTTGTGCACACCCTAGACAATTACATAATTTACTTTGTTAATTTGTGCTCAACCTTTTATTAGCAATGGAAATAGAATTATTGATGAAATAACTTGTATGTTCACAAAACTTTGTAAAAAGGTTCACTGAATCTTTTAAGTAAACATATTTTTGAAGAGGTGAGTGCATAATAAATTTTTAACGCGACGTAAAAGCGTGATGACACTAGAAAGCAGCTTCCGGGTTACCGAACGCCCCTCGCTCTGTGCACAGGAAGGCCGAACCCGCCCAGAAGTCCCAGAAGCCATGGCGGACGAGCCGACGAGAAAAGGAAGGGAGCCCCACCTCTTCCAAAAATAAACCAAACCCCACGCGAAGCGAACACGGCGTCCTGGCTGGCTCTCCTCTCGTCTTCGCCGCCCTTGCCTTGCCTTCCCCTTTCAGCTCTCCTCTCCATACTTCCCGCTCCTTCCCTCCTCCCGCTTTGACCACCTCGTCCAGTCGTCCCCCATATCTCTCCTTCCCCTCTCTACCACCCACCACACGCAGCATCAGCATCCGAAATAGAAGAGAGAGAGGTCGATAGGCACCGACACGACCCATGTCAATGTGGCGCGTCTCCCGCTCCCTCCTCCGCGCCGCCTCGGTCTCCACCTCGGCGGTCGGGCGCGGCGCCGGTGCCGCGCCCCGCCGGTGGGTCCCGCCGCCGTGCGCGCTGCAGCAGCGCTGCGGCTACGCGTCGCTGCCGGAGGCGGCGAGGAGGGACGGGGGCGAGGAGGATGTGACGGCGGCTGAGGCGAGGCGGCTGATGCGGCTGGCCAACGTGGAGGCGCTCAAGCGGCGGCTCGGGGACGGGGAGGTGATCCCCTACGCGGACCTGCTGCGCGCGTGCCAGGACTCCGGCGCCGCCCGGACGCGCGCCGAGGCCGCCGCGCTCGCGGGCGCGCTCGACGAGGCCGGCGTCGTCCTGCTCTTCCGCGACAGGGTCTACCTCCAGCCCGACAAGGTCAGCTCGCATTGCCACCCTCTCCTACTCCCCCCACACCTTATCCCTCCCTGATCCCCTGTAGAATCGCGGCGTTCGAGGCTCGGTTTCTCCGGGCGTCGGGGGCTTTCGGATTTTAAGCTGCGTTCTATCCGGTTACCTCGCCGCCGGCTACTCCGTTCGTTAGTGCGTCGATTGTTCTCTCGTCCGGTGAGGTATGACCGGTACAAGCTGGCGGTGCCGGAAATCTTAGGGAACGCATTTTCGATGTAATCAATGAAGGAATGGGACATGGTAGTTTTATTTGAGGCATTAGAAAATTTTGTCCGGCAAAAAAAAAAAAAAAAAATAGCGTCGCTAAGCACCGACCACACGGACACGGCTCAGCCGCTGGGCGGCTCAAGTACAGATCCGTGCAACCATTAGGTTCCAGCTTGTAATTCGTGACCCGCGGGCCGCGGCCTGCGGGGTTTGCCGGGCTTCCCGCAAGTGCAAACGATGGTCCAGGGTTACATCGCCTACGGATTGTACCTTTGGTCCATAGATCCAGTCGTTAGAATTGCATTTGCCATTCGACGGCAAGCTAATGGTTTGGTGAGAACCAAGATTCATCGTGCACTTCGTGCGACCTTCTCAACTTACTGATCGGGACTGGCCTTTGAAATCATCGTGAGCCCGTCGTCGCCTTACTGTTTGGACCAGTAGCAATCCACTTGCCAGTGGCGCTTTCTGGAGGGAAAGGTGATCGGTATGCATGTAGACGCGACTGGTGGTTCACAGCGTGCTCCTCTCGGCTGCCCACCCGGTCATGCGGGCAGCACCAGTGGAAAAGTCATCCTGTTTTCTTCCATGGGAGGAATCCATCCGCTTGTTAAGCATCTGATTGGTGCCTCTTCTTTTTTCTAGTTTGCTCTGTCCTCTCGTACACGATGGGTTATCGGCTCATTGCACTGGAGAGGCTATTGTCCCTTTGCACTACCTCTATCAGTCTATCCTGTTTCCATTATGTCGTGTGGCTTGTGGCACAGGATGCATTGTCCATTATCTAGACTGCTTGTTTTGTGTATTGCACGGATGGGGCGAGCTACCAGTCTACCGGGCAAAGTCTGTCCTTCGATTGTGCGGTAGCAAAAGTTGGTTGCTTTTCACAATGCTTGTCCTATGTTTTTTTTGTTTAAATAGTATCATAATAGTTTTGCGTTACTCTCACTTTATTCAGTAACGTGAATGTGCAATTTGGAGCCTTGTTGCAAGCTGTACTATGGGACATATCAGCAAATTTTGTAACTACCATTCCTCATTCAAGTTGATGGTGCTGGATGTAAATTAACTATTTATTGAACATTTGGAACAAAAGCATGAAGCTTCACAGAGGATCCTCTACTATACTCTTAAATCATGTATTCATGTTTACTTTCCATTGCATTCCACCATTTTGTGTTTGAAATGTATTTACACTCTTGCATATTCGTTGCACATTGTTTTTCATATGTACAGATTCTTCCATTTTAGGATAGGTCACTTTGTAAGTTGATTTTTCAGGATATTGTCAATCCATGTCTTTTTGACATGTGAACACTTCAGTGATACATGTGGAAGCAAACTGAAATACAGATTAGGACTGTGGTGTATCCACATACGCTGAAATTTCCCCTTTTAAATTTCTCATCAATTGGTTCTTATCAATGTAGGTTCAGATTTGGTGTCTTGTGGGGTCTTCACATACATTAGCTTATACTTACCTTCGGTTGATGCTAATACCTCTTGTTTTATACAGATCGTGGATCTTGTAAGGAAAGCTATGCCCTTGCACTGACACCTGAGAATGATCCGGGAAGGAAGAGCTCAAGCAGCTCCAGGCGCAGTTGGAAGACATCAACAAGCTTGCACACAAGCAGGTCCGGCGCATCCTCTGGTCTGGTCTGGGTTTCTTGATCACCCAGGTGGGCCTCTTCTTCAGGCTCACGTTCTGGGAGTTCTCGTGGGACATCATGGAGCCCATCACGTTCTTCGCGACCACGACAGGCCTGGTTGTGGGATACGCATACTTCCTCATCACATCAAGGGACCCAACCTACCGAGACTTCATGGAGAGGATATTTGAGTCTCGGCAGAGGAAGCTGATCCAGAGGCAGAACTTCAACCTGGACAAGTACCTTGAGCTCCAGAGGCGCTGCAAGGATCCCCTGGAGAAAGCGTGTGGCACGACCAACCCTGACATGGCTCATCTCCATGAGCTATCCATTCACAAATGACAAACAATTCACCATTGCTTCGTTACTCATCTCATTCTCTGGGAGAAATGATCCCTACTAGCAAAAGTACGCGGTGTTTCTTGCACTTGTGAGATACCTTTTCCACGGTCTTCTCCTATGCAAATGTGTAGGTCAGTATAATCCTTTTTGTAGCGATGCTGAAGCACAGGCACCTGATAGTTGAAAAGGCAAGCTCATCTGCATGGCTGGAAGCTTACTTACTACCCAGAACTGCATAATTCTGCAGTCTCTACTAATATACTGTTTCATTGTGACTTATTAGCTTTATATATATCCTATATGAAAACTCATTTGTTGGTAACTAATATGATCCTAATTAGAGACTTATATTTGATCACGTGCCTTTAGAAATGTACTTGGAAACGAATCTGAGGATTGATAGCTAAGTTTCAGAAGCACTACAAGCCAGTGCGTGGTAAAGGCCATTCTCATCATGACTGTAGCCGTAGTGCGTTGTGCGTACAGATGCGGTCCTACGTTTACAGATACAGAATTACAAATTGCGGTCTACACTGAAGCAGGAAACTCGTCAACACATGAATTGTGAATTTTGTGGAATTGCATCTGACGAACTCCAAAGATGGGTAATTTGCTGTGAAGTGTAAACGTACCGTGATCTTGGGCGTCATTCACTAGTCCTCGAAAGAAAAAGTATGCACGCGCACTCGCAGTTCCATTCGTTGTTCTTACTGTCCATGCTCTAACCTTTAAAAAATCTCTCTTAAAGCCTCCTTGGCTGTTTGAAACTTAGAAATTTTGCAGGCATGTATATTAAATTTACATGAATTAATTTAATTTCAGAAAAAAAATATAGAATTTTAGAAAAAAATTATGGTGTTCCAAACGGAGATGGAAGACTTGCATAATCCACTGTCTGGCATTCCAGTCTTGCATAATCTACACCGCAACCTGTCTTATTAGATCATGTGGTATACTGGCATTACGTATATGGTAGGTACATGCATGGTAGAAGTTCCACTCCGGCATTCAGCTGTTGGCTGGGCAGGGGACTTTTAAGTTACCCGTGTCGGCGCGGTATCCTGCACCACAGCACCAGCACGTCGCCCGACGGTGCCTCTAGTCAAAGATACTGATGCCGCATCGATTTCTCGGAAGCCAAATCGGTGTTCCGTTTCAACTTGACAGTGACATCTGCGTGGCTTTCTTCAGGTTTGTTAAGATATTAGTATATTCAGCTCAATTCATATGGGTTAGAGTGGAATGGAATGAAACTAAATTCAATTCTACTTCAATACATATGGATTGAGACGAATACATACACATTCAAACGAGGCCTCAGTTGAAGGGGAGGCTTGGAGCTCGGTTAGAAGTTGGCGTCGTTTCTTTTGTCCTTTTTTTTAAGCTGGCAAGGCAAACCCGCAGTGTAAAGTTGGGTATGACTGGGAATCTGTATATATATATGAAACCTACGTCCAAACCGCGGCCAGCCAGCGTGCCACGTCACGGGCTTTTCGTGGCCGTTCGATCGGGCGCGCGGACGGCCCAGATCGGTCGATCCGCGGTCATTTTACGAAAAACCCCTTCTATGTTTCGGAAATAAACCCGCACTCCAGAGGCCCTCTCAGAATATTTTGTAAAAAACACCTCAGATTATTTCCAAATCAACCCGCAGTCCAGAACGGATGGGCTCCGGGTTGGCTCGTCCGTCGAGCGAATGGCGACGCGGGCGCCAACCACCAGCGAGGCGGCGCAGCCCACGCGGTTCGAGCCGAGCACGGCCACCACCGCGCACCAGCCACCAGCGAGGCGGCGCAGTACACGCGGGCGAGCCGAGCACGGCCACCACCGCGCACCACAAGATCGGGCGCCGCCCGCAGACGAGTCTGCGGAGCGACCCGATCACACCTGGATCTCCGCCGCGCGCCCAAGCAGTACCTCAAGCACAGATGCGCTGGTACGGGGCTGACCTCAGGGGTGGAGGCGCCGGCGCCCTCATGCGCTCCGCCGCCGCCGCTACAGCGACTTGGACGGCGCCACGCCGCTTCACCTCGCGGTAGCAGAATCCGCCCAAAAGGCTGCACCGTGCTTCGGCCTCGTTCCATCTCTCCAGGTGAGCACTGGATGGAACCTCTGCTCGGATTTCTGCGGCGTGGTGTTTTTCTTGCGCTAATCGATTGCTAGACTAGATGGTCGCCTGACTGATTTGAGGAAACAGAGGTTGGGGAAATTGAGGACCTCGGTAGGTAGACGGATAGATTAGCTCTTTCCCCAATTTCGAATCACGGATATGCTTCAATTTAAGCTATTGTTTACTTTATCTGGATTCCTTAACTAGTTACGTGGCCCGGTGGGCATTTTGTGGACTATTGGGGGGAATGGTTCTCGATACCTTAAGCTTGTTCTTCCTGCAGCTGCCTGTTTACCCTATGTAGTGCTGCGGTTGCAGTCTTTCACACGTTGCGACCTTGTTAGTAAGGGTGATTTAGTTTTCAGCTTCAATTTGCTCTGTTTGCAAAACTCAACAAACGTGGCTTGGGTATCTTTTAGAAAACATACCTGTGTTGTGATTTAGGGCGACATTTGCTCATCCTACCAAATTTGCTGCATCAAACTGCTTATTTGATGGCGTAATTGTTTAGTTCCAAAGGGTGCTTTTGTTCTCTATACGATCTACTGTAGGATTAGCAGGCCGGATGGCCCCATTAATTACAATTTTATCTTTTGATGAACATATTAGTTGTTAATGAGAACATGAAAAAGGAAATGAACACCCCTTACTGCTTTGAATGGAAACAGTCAGGCATCAAAGCTTGGATTTTTTTTTTAGCCGAACTGCTTTGTTTTGTCAATTTTTGGCCTGATGGTATCAACAGACTCACATGCACTGTTCTGTCTCTTTGTTTATTGGTTTAATGGTTGCACTGCTCTGCTTGTTTGTTGACGCGCTTGTCTTTTTCGGCGCCGGCACCGCCTGCGCAACAATCAACAACTACGCTGGTACGCCGATTGACTTTCTGCCGCTTCTTGCGGAAGCATCGGTGGTGATGGCCTGCTACTCCACTCGATGCGCCTTCTTCTCCAAGAGCTGCACACCGAGCTCATTCTTTGCAGCTGGGCGCCGTGGACACGTATGGCGGCGTGCTGGACTTCATTCCTTCCATTTTGCGATGAGCAATGAGGTATTAGAACTCAAATATGCCCAGATTAGTTGCAATTAATAGAAGTGTGCATAAGGAACCCATACTTATTTTCTCTAATGATCAGATTAGTCAAGTCCATCGTCTTATGTCCTTTTTTTCCCTTTGTTGTCCGTACAGTTCTATCCGACTCTGGATACATCCAAAAAGAGTTTCCATGATCCTAAAGCTTTTTCATTCAGCAATGCCACAACACTTAATACTGATACATGTATATTTTTTTACTTCTTACTTCCACTCCTACCTAATGCTAAACCTATTGAATAGTTTGACAAAGAACCATACTGTGATCTACAGCTGATTGGTTTATCAAAGTGATTTGGTTTAGCAAGTGTAGAAGTAGAACCTAAGTAGCAGGATTAACTTCTAGCTTACCTCCTGGAAGTTTGCTTTCCCTGTCAGTTGATGCTAACTTGTATTTTCTTTAACTGTAGACTCATCTAAAAGATTGCTTCTTTGGTGTGATAATATGTGAATGATTATTTTTGCCTATGCCATTTTGTATTTCAGGCTATCGTTCCATCGTTCATCACTGGTCAAACAAAGATGATGATGAATCGGAGAGTACGAAGGACACTAAAGCTCACCTGCACAATACTTGTCTTTGCACCTACAAAGTCTTGCTGGCAGCCAAGTCTATGACCTAGTACTAGTACCTTTCTGAGCTTATGATATGAGTTATTTGGTAGTTTATATTTCATATTTATTTAGTTGCTGTTTTGTTTTTATTCTGCAAAGTGAGCTCCAACATCATATTCCATATAAACTCACGCATGGCAATGACCCAATACATGCAAGCGTGCGGCAACGCCGCGCGTGGTTTCTAGTCTCTATAGGAATCCCGCTTCCAAAAGCGGGCTAATGGATAGGTCCACGTCACCCGCTAACCTGCTGGCCGTTGGATCAGCCTCGCGCGCAAGACGGACCGTCCGATGCAAGTTCAATCGGGCCTGTCACTCAGCAACCCGCAAACCCGGCCGACACGAATCGTCGAGAACCCGGGCGACGTCCTCATCCCTCCACGCTCCTCCTCTGACCCCTCCGCCGTCCTATGGCCTCCGCCTGCCGCGCCGCTCGCAAGGAGAACCAGCAGCCCGAGCTGCGCCTGGACCTCAGGCAACGAGGCTTGTCAGTCCTCTTCTCCCTGGGGCAACCCCTCTCCCAGCCCTGCTACGATGTGTCAGATTGCAGGCGGCTCGTCTGCTCAAGCTCCACCACACAAAGAAGCTGGACCTGACGCCGCCACCTGAAGCACAACTCTGGACCAGACGGTTGCATAGCTCGGCGAACTCTCCTCGCGCGTCCGCAATCGGTTAGTACACGCTCTCCTCTCGGCGTTGATGTGCGTCAATGCGTGGACACCGCGATGACCCGTGCTGCACGAGCCCGTAGCTGATGCTCAGATCTGAATCTTGTGTTCTGCCGCATAAAAGCCAAGGCCTGAATCGTACAAGCAAATCAATCATGGGACTGCATCACAGTGACCACCGCTGCTGCATGCTTGCAGCCGTACATTCATGCACACAATCTGTTTGATTCAATGCTTTAGAGCCATATTTTTCTAAAATATGGCAATCTATAATCTAAACTCCTCTACACCATCTCTTATGATTAATTTGATGCTCTTACATTAAGAAACCACTATCAATTCTACATGCTTCAAGCTCTAATATGAATGAGAATCGGGCAAATCCTCAAAAGTGCACACTGAATTTGAAATAGGTTCTCTACTACTTTAATAGCAACTACATATATGTACTTTCCTGATCCAATATTCAGACCCTTTGAAAACTTAATTTCCTGTCCACACATTTCATTTCT